AGGAGGATCGGACCAAGGATAATTCCAAACCTTCCAGTCCTGTGTTGAGCCCACTTATACTTTGCAGACACCTTTCATCCCACTTCAAAGAGAAAATTAAGGCTACCAAGCTCAATTCCTTGAGCTCTGGCCTATAAACTTGCCATATGCCCAAGTCCGTCCCCACTTCTTCTGCTCTTGTTCAGGAAATGCTTCTACCTGCATCTGGACCCCATTCCCCTCCTGCCTCTTCCAAGACTCACCTCTAGCATTCCCTGCAATGTTCCATCTCTCCTTCTCTATTTATCCCCACTTAAAAGCAAGCTCTAACCCTAAAAACCCCTTTCCTGATATTAGGTTCCCCTCGTCCTACACTCTAACTGCATTTCGACTCGTTAGCCCAAACTCTTTGAGGCACTATGTGCACATGTTTCCCCTTCACATCCCATCCATTCAGGGCAGTATAATTCCTGTCTCCGCTGAGTAATTGAAGCTACTCTCATCAAGGTTAGCTTGATCCAAGTGGCCAAAACTACTGGACGATTTTCATCTGTATCTTACTCGACTTCCCTTGATACCTTTGGCTTTGCTGAGCGTTCCTAATGAATTCCCTTGACTCTCTCAACGTCTGTGAAACTGGGCTCTCTGGTTCTCTTGGTGCTTCCCTTAGGCAGCTCATCTGTGTCTCCTCTATGGTCGGTTGCCACCAGCACATTACATGAACTGATACCATATGAAGATATAAAACACTTGGCTGTTTCTACTATCTGCAGATGGCACCAGAGACCCAGGATCATGAACAGATGGACCAGAAAGGGCTGTGGAAAAGCTGGTGATCCTCTGTATTTCTGATTTGAAAATCTTCAGTGCTCTGGATCTGAAGAAGCCATATGGCAGAGGGGTCTTTTTAGGGTACTTTTTTTTTTTCAAGTCTCATCCAATTGTAGGGTAAAGATAAGATTGAGTCACATGTATAACTTGCGTAAGGGGGAGGCCAAATGCAGCAGCAAATGGTTCTTTGGAAAGCGGAGTTCAACAATTTCAAATCAATTTTCTAGTTCTAAGATAGCTGAAAATAGTTTCCTGTGGTGTCTTACATTCCTTTAACCAGCGTTATCAGAATGCAGCTTTGTGTTAGAAACACAAGTTAAGCAGACTGTGTCTTCCCCTAACAAGGCCTGGTGCCTGTTGATATTGCATCTGAGCCCCTGCGTCTGTTCAGTGGGTGGTAGTGGCAATCTCTTATTTTCTAGTTGCTGAGAAGTCCACAGATATCCTGTGGACATCTAAATGGCCATAAACTACTTTGGAGGTTTGGGACTCAGTGCAAGGCTTCCAAGTGGGGCCCGACTCTGTCAGGGGCCTGGTGGGTGGGCTTGTGGGCAGCAGCTTACCACCCACAGCTGGACGTGTGGAGCTCTCATCACTTAGTGAATGACTTTACATGAAAGCCTGTGGCCTCATGGAGGCTTGATTCTGAGTGAAGCTAAGCAGGAGACAGGGCAATCGGGAAGATTACAGGAATTCCCATTGTGGTTACAGACAAGAGCCATCTTTGTGTGTTCTGTGTTACTGAAAGGCCTTTGTAAAAGTTCTTTTGTTCAAGGCATCATGAAATGTCAGAGCTGGCAGGAACCCCAGAGAACAGCAAGCCCCACCTTCTCATTCTTTTTAATATAAGTTTTGAAAGGCAGATGGTGATTTGGTCCCCATAACTGCATCAAGTTATGTGATTCCAAAATTTTTTTACATTCCTTCAATGATAAGCTATTCACTGCTGGCAGCTAAACAAGAAATGATAACCAAGTGAAACACAAAGGTTTTTGAAGCTAAATTCCTCATACAGTCAGCTTCCAGGACATCCCCCATTTTTTTATTAACCCTTTGCCAACTGACTTCTGTCCTTACTCTCTACAGAAACAGTTTTTAAGGCATCACATCCTCCTTCCTCCTGGGTTTTTACACCATCTCTGTCGACCCATTCTTCAAAGTCTTGCTTAAATACCAAAAAGGGCTCTTGCGTCTCTCATGTTTATCCTATGCAGTCTTTGTTCTAGTTAAGGCCCTTTTAGTAAAGTTCTTTTCCTTGCAAGCAAACTAGTGTGGCAGAGTAATTTTTTTAAGTGAAATAAATCTCTGCATCCCTCTACACCCAGCTATTGCCTTTTCCACTTAGTCATGTCATGTCTGAACAGTATTCTTCGAGGAAGGGATATCTCACTTTGCTTAAAGGCAACAGGAATAGTTAGTTAGTATCCCAACATACTGCCTATCGTCATGTGCTGAGCACATTGCACGGACGATATCATTTAAAACATCCCTATGGACTACATCATGTCCATTTCTCAAATGATAAAACTGAGGCACAAGGGTTAAGTAATCTGCCTTGCCAAGTGGTGGAGCTGAGATTATGAACCTCTCACCACTCACCCAGTCAGGGGCTATAGAATCCAGAAGAAAAATTTGCCTCCCTAAATGATGAGGCTGTTTGTTACTCAAACTGCTCTATAGCTACATTAGTATTCTCTCCATTCTCTACCGTTACTTGGGGACTGTCTGGCCTCGAGGGGAAATGGGAGTGGAAAGAGCCTCGGTTCTTGCAGAGTCAGACGGGCCTCACTCCAGTCCTCTAATTTCTAAGCCTTATCCCGACCTCTGACCCCAAACACACCACAGTTTCAATATTATTAGCTGTGGACTCTCTTTTGGGGGTAGAATCTCCTATGAAGGGTTTATCTTCCTACAGGTTGAGAGAGAGCAGAAAACATTCATACTTCCCCACTTGGAAAACATTTCCTGCTTTCTACTCAGAGCAGATCTCTTGAAAGATTTCCCTTGGGCTAGGCAGAGCCCTCCTCTGACCAGGATGGGAGACTCTGCATGTACCGCTGTGCTCATGCCAGGGTGCCGTAAGTTGGGTGGATTTTGCAGGGTAATGAAAGGCCTCTTGGTTGCTGGAGGTAGTGGGTTTGACTAGAATCACTCTGTTCCCCCCAGGAAGAGGTTCTGTTCTTTGAGAAATTCAGAATCCTTGGCAGAGGCCCTGAGGAGATTCTTGACTTTCCTTAGACAGCTTCCTAGAACTCAAAGTACTTAATTTCTGCAGCAAACTCTAACAAGGCTTCATTTGCCCTTTCTTCCTTCCTTCTGTTGGCTTCCTAGGAGATGTAAAGCTTCCTGAGATGTGTTTTTGAAGACTGGTATTTCTGAAGCCAGCAGAGACTGCTGAGAGTCTGCTTCACTTTTGCACATCGATTCCCACTGAGATCACAATTGTTGCCTCAAAGAAATTGACTCAAATTTGAAAATCTTTTAACTAGTCTGGGAGTTAGGTAGGTCTTCTGAGAATTATTTTACTCTTGAATAGGCCCCTTAATGTAGAAAATACGAATCCTAGTCTACATCTCAGATTTGCAAGAATGATAACTTTATATTTCAATAATTGAAACTCATGACTTCATATCTTGTTCCGCTGAGTGGCTAAAACTCCGTTTTGGTCTGTTCAGTGTTCCCCCTTCTCACCGCCCATCAGGCCAAGAGGAAAAGGATTTCTGGCTTGGGGGACAAGGCAGTCCAGGGTAAGTGGTCAGCGTGGTGACATTGGTGGATCCTAAAGAAAGGCAGAGTCCCGTGGAAGCAGTAAAATACCCATATCTAGATTTATAAGCCTAAGAAAGACAGTAAGACCCCAGAAGAGAAAAATGTCTGTGTGGCGAGTCTTGGCAACCAAGGCCTCACGCAGCCTCACGAAGAGAACTATGCTAGAGGTGGGCCGAGAACATTCCAAGTGGCCTGGGAAAAACAGAAAAGTTTGCTGGCACTTGACAGGGCCATTCAGGTGGGAATGAAGCTCTATCTATAAAGCTTGCATGGACTTCTGAAGACCACGTGGGGTGAGGAATGTCTCTGTGAGCCCACACAAGGGTGTTAGGGAGTGATAACTGCCACACTCCTTTTCCCAGTCACCCCTGATGTGCTGGCACTATGTAAGTCCCATGGAACCTCAACACAACCTGGGGAGGGAGATGCAGGAGGAAAAAACCTCAGTGGACTGAGATATAGTTTTGCATCTACAGCAAATTGGGAGGTCAAAACAGAAATCAAGTTGAGTTTGGGAAAAATATACAAAATTATTATTCATGCACACCTGAATTTGTGAATCTAGAGTTCTATACTGGCTCTGATAAAGGTGGATTTATCAAAAGATCATTTAAACAAAATTCAAGAATTATATCTAGGCTTCGGAGGAATGAGAAAGCCAACAGGCAGCTATTGTCTGTGCTCTGACTGTCCTTTACAATCAGCTCTTCTCTGGGACATGATAGCAATCTCCTCTCCACAAAGAATGAGACAGAGACAGATGGCTTTCTCTCTTGAATCATGGCCCCATTCTTCCATAACTTTGGTGAACATGGATCTTTGGTTGGTGAGTAGGTTTGGCTTAGTGAGGAAGGAGTCATCTCCAAATGACTTACTGGTTCTGTGACTGTCACAAAATTATTGCATTCTTAATGTCACCTGATTGAAAGTTTTGAGAAGGAATCAGCTTTGATACTTTTGTTCCCCTGGGTCATGCCCTTTAGACTGGGAGCCCATCCTGGTTCAATCCTTTGGGGTTAGAGAGTGAGGGGTCATGTAAATCAGACATGGCTGCTCAAGCCAGTCACATCATCAAAGGTGTGTGAGTTGGACAGTTCTAGAAAAGAGTCTTGAGCCCTGTTTCTAATTCACCTTTGTTAAAATTACTGCTGTACATGCCTCATACCCTTCTCTATAGTGCAACTCCCTTGAAAACATGGACTCTAATTCATCTCTCTATGCTCCATGACATCTTTTGTGTGCCTTTTGCATTTGAGCGAGTTCAATGAATCTTTGTTGAATAAATGCACATATCTCTATTCCTATACCTCCATTTCTCTGTACTTTCATTTCTTGATAGTCATTCTCTGCTTTCCGTAACTTCATTTCTGAATGAACAGTTCAGGTTAAAACCTGAATAGAATAATTCTTGTTGCTGGGGCATGGCAGGTGAGTGGCCACCATGTGAGTGCATTTTTTGAGCAGACAATACGAAGAAATATCCTTATATTCACCATGTTTACAACTGGGCTTTCCCTAACAATTGTGCATCTTAATTTCTCATTATTTTAGAGCCATCTGAACTGCTATGGAAATTAACTGGAGACTACATTCAATTTTTGAAGCATTAAATGATAGATCAGAATTAATTTAAAGCAAGTGGTTCTCTACAGGAAGATAATTCCTAGTCTCTCTTTGACATTCTGAATGATTTTCCTAAATTAAAAGCTCCAAGTTTATTAGCAACCACTGCTTTGAGTAAAATTCAAACGTTTTAAGTTTCTCCCTGTGCTAATTAAAAGAATTCTATCTAAATGGCAGAACTGCCCTAATGCCAATGGTGACAAATTAGAATCATAAAATTTGAGCCTGAAGAGAGTTTACAGATCATTTAATCCAGCCTGTTCATTTTATAGGGGAGGAAATTGAAGCTGGCATAGGGTACATGACTTGTCACCCATATAGAGGCAGAGCTAAAACTCCACCTACCTAGTCTGGGGTTCTTCAGCCCCAAGAAAATCAAAACTGCTTAAGGAAGTGGAGGGATGTTGGAGATTACTAATATGGTATAGTATTGTGATTTATAATAAGAGATGTATATTTGGTTTAGTTTATGCAGAGCTGTAAATGATGAGCAAGCCATAATGGCTAAGAATAACAGGTTTGCGCACAGCCTGGAAAATCGATTCTTTCTTGTCTGGTTTCTGTTTTTAGCTGCTTGTCAGCCCAACTGATGGCTCACTTCTTGCTTGCCTGTCAGACAACAGTGATAAAGTGCATGGCATTTCTGGTGAGGGAGGGTAAAGAACACACGGAAACTGGAAAACATAGATGAGTGAACAGGGGTAGAATTCCAAAGACCCAGACAGTTTTACAGGTTCCTGCGAGGGGCCCGGGGATCCCTAGCCAGACTCTTCAAGCTACTCTAGAATCCTGCTCTAATTTAGTTTGCAGCTATAGATCCCAGAGAAGAGAAGGGAGTTGTGTGAAATGAGGTAGTTGGACTCATCCACCTTAGGCACAAAACTGTTTCAGATCTCGGTGGGATCTCTCTGCTTCTTTGTCACTTGGCTCCATGCTAGCTAGGACCTCAAAAAAAATCTTAATCCACACAACAACTGTGGTTGGTAGGAAGTATTGTGAAGCCCATTTATAGAGAAGAAACAGTGTGGCCGGCATGGTATCAAGGCTCTGGGTGGCCAAGGTACTTCTCCTGGGGCACTTGGAAAAGATGGATGCAAAGCCAGTGGCCATATTCTCTAACTATAACATGTCTGCTTCTAGATCGAGAGGTCTCAGAAGCTCCTTCCAACAGCAACACTTTTAAGTTTTGTGATTATGTGAGTATGGGGGAAGAGAATACTCCAACTACCCACATTAAAGCAGGTAACTATTGTGGGCAAGAAGAGCTCAATCCTCTAGGATACCATTTAGAACCCCCTTCAGCATTGTCCCACTGTTGAGCAAGGAAGCTTGGATATTTTTTCCACTAAGTTCCTTCTGTCACTGGTTGAGAACTGCTCCTGCAAGCATTCACTTTTGCCTGCCTTGGGCACACATGGACATCCATACACGGGCCAAGCGTGTTTCTGGGCCTAGAGTAAGCTGTCATGCAGAAAGCTGCAGGAGCTCGCAGGAGAAAGTCAACAGCATGTAAGGTAATCATGCTGTTGCCAGAGGAATCATGAGCGCCAAAGGAATCTGAACTGGGGAAAAGTGTCCTTCACACTCATGCTACAAGTCCATCTTCAGTCAGCTGGACATCTACTCTTTGGCTCAGGGCTAGCAAATTTATGGCCTGCAAAATATACACAGGAGTTAGTATGATGTAAAGTGTGCTTGGATTAAAGTTGATTAAAGCTCTTTTGGTCATAAGTAACAGAATCCAATCTGCACCAGCTTAGGTTAAAGGGGACTTCACTGACTCTGGGAACCGAATTCCAGAAAAGGGAAGAGCTGCCTCCCCCCCACCTCCCAGCCCATGCTGTAAATCTTCTCTGTGTCTGCTTTCTTTTCTTATTATGGGCTAGCTTCTTTGAAAAAGCCAGGATTTGGCTACCTATAGCTTCTCTTCCTTCCCTGCAGAGAGGAGCAGACCCTCTTCCCTTAGAACCTTTCCTGAAAGTTTCAAATTGGAACTGATTTAACACAGCTCTGCAGCAAGGCCCCGCTGCCTGACCAATCACTGTGGCCATGAAAGTTGATGCCAGCTCCCATTTTTAACATATGGTGGGGGACAGGATGGGGGCAGGGAATAGAGAGCAGTCCCCCTAGAGAAGGAGGGTGAGGCTCCCAGGAGAATGGAGGGCTGCTGGGCAGAGGAAGCATATCTGCTCAGGAGAAAAACAAATCAGATTATCTGTTCAAGAAAAGGTCAAAATTGGATTCTTTGCTTAAAAAGCACTTTATTATAGAACTAAACCAAGTAAAGACAGGGCAAATGAAGTCATCTTTAATTTTATTAGGGAGAAAAAAATATCACTAGCATTGATTGCCTTTGTCGCACAAGCATTGGCATTTTGTCAAACACCAGTGTTGCATAGGGGGTAAATGTGGCCCAGAGAAGCTGATTTAGAAGGCCCTGAGCTCTTGTCTGTCAAACCCTGTCCTTGTCAGGCCCTGTTCAAGTCCAATTTTATAAGAAGCCTCAGACCTGAGTAAGGCTTTTTCTCTCCATGAGCACGAGCCCAAAATCAGGATGTGAGTGTTCCTGCACATGACGCTTGGCCTGGATTAATTCATCGAACAGACAGTTGCTCTCAGTATTCAATGAAATAACTTGAGGGACTGTCCTTTAAAATAAATTAAAACATAAGACTCATATTTGAGAAGGATTATGTCGTTTTTTTTCTCGTCCCGTTCTCACTCATTCATCTAACATGTATTTGCTGGTGCTCATGCACCAAGAATACACTGGGGATACAGCAATAAAAAAAACAAACCACCGGTCCTCCTGGAGCTCACTCTGGCCAGGGGTACTGGCTTCCTCAAAGCCCCGTTAGGATGCTACCCTCTGCATGAATCCTCCCTCCTACCAACACCTCCAGCCTCCATTTGCTCGCACACTTAACTCCATCGCAGATCTCGCCAGGCAGTACTGGGGCCACATACTCGGTGCCCTCTGGCGAGTGCTTGGGCGCTGGGCGCCCCCGCAGCAACCCCGATTGATTTCAACGTCAGCGCGGGAAAAAGACCGGGCCTGCGCCACGGATCCGAGTGAGGCTGAGTGCTGATGGGGCGCAACAGCTGCAGGCTGGAAATGGCTCTCCCCGCCCCGGTCCAGCCCCCGAACTGGTTGGGGGCGGCGCCCCTAACCAGGCTCCGGGTCCAGGCCACCGGCAGGGTGGGGCCGGTGCAGGTAGCTCGGCGGCCTCCGGGAGTGAGCGCCGTGAGGCCGTTTTTTTTTGGGGGATGGGGCGGCTCGGGGCCCGCCGCCTCGTCCTGCTCGCCGCCTGCCTGGGGCTCTGCTGGGCGCGCGGGGCGCTCGGAGGTACGCGCCCCAACTTCCCTTCCCCGTCCCTGCCCAGGCCGGCCGCGCGCGGATTCCGCCAGAAGAGGGTGGGTGGGGAGCAGAGCAGAGGGCGTGGGCAGGGATCCCCTGTGCTCCGGGGGCTGGTCCCGCAGCGATCCCGACTTTAACTCTCGGGCCCTGCTTTCGTTCCCGAGCGGGGCGCCGGGGGAGGAGACTGCTCCGTCCCGCGCAGAGACGTCGGCGCCGCGGCGGAAAACCTCCAAGTCCCGGCTCCGCGGGGCCGGGCCCCTCCGATCCCAGCCAGGCCCGGGAGGCACCGGGAGGGGCCTGGTCCCGACCTCCGCGCCGTCCGCGGGTGCGCGGTTTCACAGCGCTTGACCTGGTTGCGCTCCGACTAGCAGAATGAAGGATTCCTGTTATCTTCCCCGATGATTCTTTTCAGTTCTGCTCCTTACCCAGGACCCGTGAGGGTGTCTGGAGCGCACGTGACCGTCACGGTTTTGGGGCCTTACCCTCATGTCCGAAATCCTTCGGTCGCTGGCCTCCTGTTCCCTATGACCCTCTTCGTATTCGCTTAAATTATCTGGGCCCAATTCTTTGAAAGTGCTTTACATTTCTACGGAGGTTCTCAGAAGCGAAAAATTGCCATTAAATTGTAATCATTGAGACTTTTTTTTTACACAATCGAGCCCTGCATTTGGGCCTTCCCACACTCCGTGACTTAGAAATTTAATTCAGTTCATCAAAAGATTTCCTTCGAGACTTTTTTAGAGAACACATTTTAAATCAAAGGCCTTCTATCTCTTTATAGTAATTGGATTAAATTCTGGACGCTTATTAATTCATTTTAGGCCTGGCCAGTGTCATTGCTGACGGTTTCACTAGGAGCTGTGGAGTAATGTTCCAGCCCTGAGCCGCCTGTACTGGTGGATGCCTCCCTCTTGAGTATGTGATCCAGGGTCTCATTCCAGCTCCTCCAGCTCTGCTCCAGTCCTGCTGTTCCGGAGCGCCCTTCCAGAGATCCTCCCTCCACACCTTCCTCCTTCCTTTCTTGTTCCTCCTCTTCCCCTTCCCCTGCCTCTTCCTGCCTGGCAGGCAGGATCCACTGGGCCAGTCTGGGAACTGGAGGTCTGGGGCTGCTTTGACGGTGGCTTTGGTGTGGCTTTGAAGGGGAAGGTGTGAGCTGCAGGCCAGAGAGATCTGAGAGGACAGCGAATGGTATTGGGGGACAGATTGGGTGTGATGGGTGATGAGCGAGTGATCTCAGTGGTCAGTGTAGGGTGATGAAAACCCCTGGCTTTGCAGTCGGATGGACTTGGGCTTCAATCTGGTTTTACATATATTTACATATATTTCTTCTCTAGGTCTTGATTTTGCATCTGTAAAATTGTGATAGTAGCTTCTGCAGAGAGGCTTGAATAAAATACTATGTAAGACCTCCTAGCAGCCTGAGAACTACTCGATCAATGCTCAGTTCCCTCCTTTCCTACTCATTACCCTCTTTCCTTTTTTTCTGTGCAATTAACAGGTATGCGGCCAAGGATCAATGGGTAAAATATTCACTTAGGGATTCAGAGTGTGGACAGAAGAGATTGACTGAATAAAAATTCCATAATATATACTTTAATGCATATAACTGTTCTTCACCCTTAGGTCTGATTGCGTGACAAATATCGATACCAAACTCTTACCAAAAGCTACTTTACAGCACTTTGAAGAATATTTTATTGAGTGTGTGATCAGCCAGATATGTGATCTGAATTTAGGTTTCTTCCTTACCTCTTTGGGTGATTCAGGCTATGGCTTTGAAGAATCTAATTGTCAAAGACTTGGATTCTTAGAGGACAAAAGATGATGTGTCCTCACTTGGCGAGTCTTTCCACAGCAGAAAGTCACCTTTGGTAAACTGATTGTCTCAGTAATATCTTCAGCATACACCCCCAACATAGCTCTATTTACAAATCAAATATCAGTACTACTGTCACCAGCCACTTTCTCAAGGTATATATACACTTAGCACTAGACCCATGTTGTTAATAGTTCAATAATTTTTCATTTTTTTCATACCTTCTTGCTGGTTCCTTTGCATCATTTGTATATATCTTTATGACTTGTTTGCTGGATTTTTTTTTAAATGATCCTTTTTGTGAGGATCTATTTAATTATGATGAGATAATATAATTTTAAACCCAGTTAATCAGGTAAACCCACGTGTGGTGTGTCACTGAATAGGGAAGGAGAGTGAGGGCATCCTTCTACCTTGTAGAACTTCTGCTTCTCCCTAAGGGAGACTTGTGTACCCAGCAGGGGAGACTCACATGCCAGCTGAGGCAAGATGCCAATCAATCTGTAAAGTAGAGATGAATAAAGCTTCAGTTCTTATTTATTTGTTTTATAGATGAAAAACAACCCCAGAAGTCCTAATATTTTCTTCCAGCTCTGCAGTGAATAATCTTGGCACCTCACTTCACCATTTCTGCCTGAAGCTGTGGTGCCCAACCAGCAGCTGGTATGGCAGGAGGTGACATGGAGTGGGGGATCATGGCACTGGAGCATCCTTACCCCACTCATGGTTGCTGTTGTATGGGAATTAATGGGTCCTAGAGTGGCCTGAGAGGCTGATATTTGAAGGGAAGCCCAAAAGCCCAGGTTTTATTTAAAATTTCTTTTATTTAAAACAAAATTTAAATTTAATTTAAAAAATATAGTTGCATAGGTTATATAAAACACAGACAAAACTCGTCCCCTATACTTCTGGGTTCCTTTCCAATACTACTACTTTATTTACCTTTATATTTCTGGCACTTAGTCCAGTACCTACAGATGATAGGTGCTCAGTAAATATGAGTGACTGAAGGACAGAGCCCCTGGGGATTGTGGTGGGCAGAACTACATGTCACCCCACCACCACCAC